AGGCCTCCAAAGAGGAGTCCTGAACAAAAAAAAAGGGGTCAAACAAACCCTTGCACGTCGGAGAGGTCAGCAAGTCAGAAATAAGGAAATCAATGCACAAAAGAAGCTGCATCTAGGCATGCTTTTCCAGGTTGTCGCCTTGTCAAGGGGCCATGACCAACCCAGAGCTCGGAACATCGGCACTAGAGGACAGAACATGGTAGCATGCTCTCCACCTCGCTCAATCAGAACGGCTGAACTCACAAACAGGGAAGAGAACCTGACTAATGGCAATACATGCACATGTCCCCTAAGTCTTGCCAAAAGGATGAACCCTCACCCTGAGTTGCGTAGAGCTCGGTGGTTATTTAGCCCTGAAAATAAGTCAGCACGTAGCCAGTCTATTACGCATGGAAAGGATGAACCCTTACCCTGAGACAAGAGGGAAAGGTCTACTTCTATCCAACATAATAAATCCTTCAGGTACACTTGATAAGTGTTGAGAAGATTGCATTCTAATCTAAGAGAAATTACGCAGTCGAAGTTACATAGTTGCATTTTGATCTAAAATTGTTACAACCATGAGTTAATAAGTTAAAAAAACAATTTTGCTTCATATCCTAATTTTGAGGATGAAGTAAGTCCAAAGCTCTAGAGGTCAGTTGCTTGAGTTCGGGCAGAAGCAAGTTGAGAAGCTGGAAGCTCAACTAGGCACATCTATAGGTATTCCTAACCTTTTTGCTTCAAGGAGATCTGAATGACCCCTTGAAACAAGGGGGGAGAAATATAAGAATATCATTTTTGATAGGTGGTAGAATAGAATAAAGCAAAAAGTTGGAAAGCAAATGGAAAGGAGAGCTATAAACTGTAAATTAAACACAAAATGTTACAATTCTAACATTTTTGTTTCAAATTCCGTTTCAAAATGTTACAATTCTGATATAATTAGCCCAAAGTTACAAATAAAAATTTCTCTACATCCCAACATCTTAAGTTTTCGAAGGAAGAGTAGGCGAAGGGCCTATTAGTGCAGTAGCTGAAGTCTTAGCAGAAGGAACTGAAGAAGAGCTCCCTAGCTCAGCAGGCAACCTTACTGGCAATGAAGTAGTTGAAGTCTCAGGAGGGCCAAGAGCAGGCAAGGAGGCAGGGACCTCAGCTTCGGACGAAGCTCCAACGGCCAGCTCAGCAGGGATGGAAGAAGCTGTAGAAAGCTCGGCAACCATGGGAGTAGAGGTGTCTAAGGAGGCAGAAGCATCTTGAGCTAAAGTCCCAACTAGAGGGATGAGCCCTTCAGAGTCTTTGGGCACATCTTCAGAAATAGGAGGAACAAGAGCATCATCCTTTTCTTTATCAGACCTCTCGACCTCTTCCTCAGGGGGAATTAAAAAGTCAAAGTTCAGTTCAGGATAAGTCCTTTCAGCTATACCCTGGAAAGCAATCCACCCTTTTGCCCACCTGATGAGAATGTCATCCTCTAGCTGAGCAATCAGCTCATCATTTTTTCGGATGGTAGTGTCTCGCACCTCCTTGACAGCCTCTAACTCCTCCCTGACAGCATCATTAGCCTCTACTAGCACCTCGTACTCCATCTTCACGTTCCTGAAGGAAGTCGGAGCATCAAGGGACTTCCGGCTCTCCTTGATCCAATCATCTATTTTTTACCGGAGGTTTTCCTTAGTCTTGCTAAGCTCCTCTTGTCTGGATTTGGCAAGGGAAGACTACTGCTTCACTTGTTCTTGCAATTCCTTTACCTGGACCTTAAGGTCATTATTCTCGAAAATCAGATTGACACACTTCAGCTCAAAAGCTCTGGAAGCATTGTCCGACCCCTCCAGGGCTTGGATTCATTTTAACAAGCTGCTTATTTGAATGACAGTCTGAAGACAAGCATGAAAGATTAGTGCAAAGGGAAGAGCGCAAGACATCCAAAAAAAAAATTAATAAAAAAAATAAAAAAATAAAAAGAAGGAGAATTTGACAAATTAGAATCTCACCGAGGTATAGCCATACAGCGCAGTGGAAATACAAGTTCCCAGGGGTACAGAAGTGGCTGCATCAATGTTAGACTCTAGGATAATGGAGGCAATGACCTCTACAGCACGCTTCACATCAGTAATAAGAGAATTTTGAGACTTCGAGAAGACCCCTTTGCCTGTCATGAGAGGTTGGGAGGTCTCCTTGGTTGATGCAAAAGTAGCACGACCAGGGAAAGTGTGAGCAGTATCCAAGACCCTCTCAACTTTAGATGCAAAAGGGGAGGTCTGGTCTCGTCTAAGAGCATCTTCAGCGGCAATTCGAGTCCCTTGTGGGAAAGGAAGTCCTGAGGTCGGTGAGACATGCAGTGGGATGCCGGGGCCTTCTGGATAGAGGCAGAGGCAAAGGAAGTACCCATTTTCTGAATCTTAGCTCGAGTAACTGGGCTCCCACCAGAACTGCCCTCAGCCTTGCGCTTGGTACCACCTTTGTTTTTCTTTTTCAATAGCTCTACCTTTGCTTGGAGCATCTCAAGGGTAAGCTTCATTATAGAAGACCCTGAAGAGATTTGACTTGAGCTGGTTAGTCAAAAGGAAAAAGAAAGGGAGGAAAGCAATGAAACCAAATAAGGTAAAGAGCATTACCTTCTATGTCCTCAGGTCGGATAAAGGAAAGTGGGGTTGGAGGAAGACCGAATCTCTGCCTTTCTAATTCCCAAGGCTTAATGAGCTCAGAGTACCTCTCTGGATTACACTTAGTCAACTTCAACTTCACCCACTCGTCCTCGACGCTGAGTTCAAGTCGAATGCCTTAAAAAAAAAAAAGGATGCAAAGATCAGGAAAGCAACTCATAAATCTTCATACCGCAGTTCAGTCAGGCAAGAATTCACCTAAGTTATCTGGGGCTGTCCAGGCTTTGAGAATCCCAAGAGTGTCTGTTTTATCAGTAGGGTTGTATTCCCAGTTGACACCCCCAACGAAAAAGAAATTCTTTTTCCAGCCTTTATGAGAACTTGGGAGGTGTATGATGATCTGCCTAGATGAGGTCCGCCTAGAAACATATAGAAAGCCCTCAGTTGAGGTAAGCTTGGCATTGAAGAGGTCCATAAGCAAAGAAATGGTGGGAGTCTCAAGCCCATGCTTCTTAAAGAAAACTAAAAGACCCACTAAAACACCTCAGAAGTTAGGAGAAAGCTGAGCAGGGCAAACATTGAAGTGCTGCAGAACATTTTTGATGAAGGGGTGCATAAGAAAATGAAGGTCATTCTTGAAAGCGGCCACAAAGAAACAAACTCTTTTGTGCACTTGGGCAACGTATGAGGTGAGTTTATCCGGACACCAGGGCTGAACACCAGGAGAAAAGTCAAAACAAGCACTAAGAGCTTCCATGAGAATAGGATCCACCCCACTGGGACCCACGAGCTCAGCATGCCTGAAGGCAGCCCCCATACCCGCTGCACTATTAGGAATCCCAACCTCATCCACCTTGCCCTTACCTTGTCAGCACTAGGAGGTACATGAGAGGAAGATGAGGGGAGTTCCTTGGAGTCCACCTCAGTATCGACAACCTCAACACCGGGAAAGTTGTCAATCTCATCACCTACATCCCCTAAATCAAAATCTCTCTTAGCAGACCTGTCGCCTAGGAGGGAAACAGAGGAGGGAGTTGCTCCAAAGGAGGCAGACATGATTGGAAAAGAGAAAGGCAAGTCGAAAGAATTATAAAAAAGAGGAATACTAACTAAACACCCCTGATAATCCTAGGGTCAGCACTATACCTCCCAATAGTAAGAATTCACACAGTGGAGTTCCAATCCACAAAGCGGGAAAGAGGAGATAGGCAACGATCGCGATTCCAAAAGAAAAAAACCGAAAAATCCAGAAAAACAATGGCCACCTCGAAGTCGAGGGATCCAGAGTGAGGAAAGGCAAGAGAAAGAGAAAGGGGCAGAAGGAAGCGTACCTAGACAGGGAAGAGAGCAACAAACAGCAGCCAAAGAACAAAATTGGAGGAGAATAGCAAAGTAGGACTTCAAATCGAACCGAGAAAGCACAGTTTTGAGCGGAGAATAAGAGAATCGCGTGGAGGAAAGCCCAGAAATCGTAGAGAGAAAGAGCCAGAGACGAAGGTGAACAGCGTAGAAGATGAACGGTGGTTCTGTACGATTTTTGATAGTCGTTTGAGCATTTAAGGCTTGAAAAATATGGGATGAAGCGTGCGTGGGAACCAAGGGAGTCATGATTGCTGTAACTGTCAAAAAGCCCCTCCCACGTGCATCCCACACGCGGACTAAGATCAGCTAGGTGCAGGTCTGGTCCATGGTGAAAGCAGCTCAGCCCATGCCCAAGCTCGCTTGGGCCAAGGGCTGGGGCGCAACTGATGATGCCTAAAATAAATTCCAAGTGTTAGCTTAGGAGTTCAAATCAAACTGGGAGGTCAGATATATTAACTGAGGTCAGAAGGCAAGGGCTGAATGTTTCTTGAGGCAAGGCAACGGCTGGATAACCACGAGAGGTTCCTAAAGTGTTGGGAAGCTATAATCAAGGCACCTAATCTCAACCAACTAAGATCTTCTCCTAGAATTAAGAAGAACCCCACGAAGTAAAGGTAGGAATCTCGGCCAAAATCCCACTGAATAGGAAACAACCCTATAAATATTACGTAATGCCCCAAAAGATGAGAGAGGACCCTAGAGGTAAAAAATAGTCATTGTACTCTTGTAATCATCATTATTAAAAGGCAAGGAGCAAGAGTCTCCATTAAAGTGGATTAGCCGAGGTCCCGAGCTGGTGAACCACTATACTTCTTCTGTGTTAATCCTCCGAGCCACTAAAAAAACATTTATTTCATTATCACATCACTATCACTGCAAAGCATAATTACGATTTATTACTCATACAATTCGGTTTACACCATTGGTGAAGAATAACTTCTATAAATCAAAATTCCTAAAAAAAAAAAACTTTATGTTAGAATTTTAATAGGAATTACCAATATGATTATGTTGAGGTCATGTTCTGATATTTTCTCTGGCTCATCCTTTCCATTACCCCTCGTATTCTAGCAACACATCCAAGAAGTCCTTCCTTTCTCTACCACCTCTCAGCTCTTCCATCCGCTCCTTCGCTATCCCTGAAGCGATTCTCAGAGCATTTCCAAGGTCGCGGTCCATCCTCCTCCTCAAACCCTGTGGATCGAGCCATCTTAGCCATGGAAAAACGTCCACGACATTTGGATGGCCCGTCCACTCCATTAGTCCGATCATAGCATTGAAGAACTCCGACCCCTTTTTTGATTCTGGATCCACCAAGTCCCGCGAGACCATGAGGTTTCCAAGCATGTTAAATGACTAGCTAAGCTACCTTTCTGTTGTTTCTTCACTCACCTTTAGTCTGTAGATGTATATATACTGATAGGTTCACAAATGTGGTTGACTTTGTAAGCCTTCTAGGCCTGGAAAAATTTAATATAAACTACACTATGTCTATGCCTGTACTTATATTTTTTCATATGATGATTATGTGAGATGCTTCTGAATTAGAACTTTAATATGTACATGAGATGACACAATATGTTTGCAATATCTTTTTTTTTTTTTTTAAAAAACAAGCATTAGAGTTGAAATCCTCTATTCATTTTTTATTTTCTTAATTACAGGTAAATAAATGGTTGTTTCCTCTAACCACCCGATGACTGCTAGCTTGTCTCCTTGTATTCTCTTTCCAATGTTTGTCGTTGAGGTTTTAGCATCTTCCTTGTATCGCTACACATGATTGTTGTACGCAATGATATCTCATGAATGACTTGGTTTGTCCCTTATTAGGGGGTGGTGGAGCCACAATTTTCTATGTTTTGGATGGATTAATTTGAATCCAACCAGAGTCCAACCTTCCACATTCAATACTCTTGGGCAGAAATTTTTAATAGTCGGGTTGAATTTGGACCGAAGATCTCAACTTGATTTAAGTTGTATTTGTGTTAGGATCTCGCGTTTTTTGGAATCCAACCTACTTCAACATTCCCCAAACTTTTGTTTTTTTTTTTGTTTTTGGCTTCACATAGTGCAAATGATTCTAAACAAAACTTAAGAGCATAATTGAGGCAAGCATCGTAAAAATCGACGGAGTGGTGCAGAATATTATATGAAGCCGGCCTTTTAGCAAAAAATAGTTGTCCAAACACCGGAGGAAAGGGACAAAGACTTATTGTATTTGTGCTCACAAATACGTCCCTGATGACATTATTCATAGGAATAATTAACGTTAATTGTCGTTAGTACTTAGTAGAATAACATAACGAGGAATTGGGCATCTTTTTTGTCGTTGAGAATTGTAACAAGGGAAGCTTTCCGGTATCTTTTGCTGCAACTAGACTTTCACTTTAACTTATTTTCTGATTTTGGACAATAATAAATTATTTATCATGAATTCAAGTTAAACTCGGTATATATAAATAGACTATTAATAACTTATGTCGAAAAGTACGGTGCAATATAAAAGTAGACTATCTCAAGGAATCGAGTTCATTATATCTATAACTAGTAATTACCCGTGCCTAAAGGCACTATGTAACAAATAAAAAATCGCAAATAAATGTCCATCCTTAAGTAGATGACCCAATCGTTAACTATTCCTCAAAGCAATGACACTGAATTTTCTTACTTAGTGCATAATTAAATCAAAAAATATATAATAAACCAACCGCAATAATCATAAACTTTTCAAAGCCACAAAATTCACAGTTATACATTTCCAATTATGATATTTACCTAATATTTTATATACGAATCTTATGCGAGATAACTTGATTGTAGACTAACAGCACCACATGAAATTAGAATAAAAATAAATAACAGATTTACATAATTTGAACCCAATAAATCTATCTTTCATGAAATGTGATTCCATTGGCTTTGAAGAGAAAATCAAGCCCACGTTTGTATAGATCCAATCAACGGAGCCTTTGTTGCCTAAACTACAATGAAGAAATCAAAACTATAATATCACATAGATGTAAAAATCACTCTTAGTATCTTTTAACACAAAGATCATCCCTATATAGTTCTAGCATTATACCATGACAGACTGAAGTAATACATTTCGGTACAACTACTATCGAAAACCTCACCGAATAGAAGTAACAACTCTACAATAACAAAATAATTCCAAACTATGAACGCATAAAACCCCAATTGTCACCCTCAATTCATAATATATTCCAAGGTTTAAAAAAATATAACTTCATATCACACTCAAAAGTGAAGCAATATATCACGCTATAACAACAATTCATTATCCAAAAAGTATTTAACAATTCACGACACTGTTTCTTAACTTCATGCAAGGTTCATATACTTAAATCTGGGAAATAAAGAAAAAAGACACAATCATAATTGTTTACCACAACAGAGCATCAAAAGAAAGTAATCAAACTATACTACCACCCTCTCATTCTTCATGTAGAACTTGAGAAGTGGATTCATGCACCTAACGTGCTACTCAAGCATTGCAACCATGGTCTGCCCTCTATGACTATGCTCTTTGCTGCCTTGATTGTTTCATCCAACTCTTGTCTCCCCTCATTCAACAACCTTCTAAAAATTGATCAACATATCAACACATCATAAATTTTTCATAGATGAGTAATATCCAACAACTCTTACCTCATTTTTTTCCTACTGAGAAACAGTAAACTACTGGTTATTAAAAATCTTAGAAAATAGATAATCTACATTAACAAAAAAAACTATGAGTTTACTTAATTGAATCCATAAAGTGAAAAGCAAAATTTTAATTGTTAAATCCATAAAAATAATTCATTAGATCAAAACATAAAATCCACAAAAATAAACACATTCATTCATCATCCACATATATATCTAGAGGAATATAAGGAGAAAACCACAATAGTGTAGGCAAAGTTGAAATTCCTAAAAGTTGTAGCACAATGAATTCAATCCATAAAAAAGGCTAGCTAGAAACGATTGCAATATAAATTATATGCCCATTCAATGCATAGAACATAATTTAAACCATATAAAAACTAATCCAATTTCGTGACTCCAAACCAAGCCAATTCACTTTGTCCCAGCTGAATATTAATTGCCTATATGCACCATTTTGAATCAAATAACCAAAAGAATCAATAGTTGAATTTAAACCCAAAAAATTCATATTACCAATATATGAAAGGCAAACTAATTTGATCATTGCAATGTTTAGCATGGATCAATCGCAATTGCCAAACGTCATTAACATTCAATTTATACAAAAAAAAAAAAAAAATCAACCTAATTGATACATTGTACGCGAAAATTTCCAAAAACAATAGGTATATAAAAAATGAAACTCATCCATGGTAAACAGCTACATACATATGTTGTCAATGCATTAGGAGGGAACATAGGTTTTTAAGCTATCCAACATGTCAACATATATGAACAGTAAAATAAGAAAAGTAGTTTTTATGAAACAAAATCACAATTAAAAAAATGCAATCAATAATGAGGCAAATGCATTATTGATGATGCAAGTCACAATAAGGAACATGAATTCAGACATGGATGTCAGTAAAATGGTGCACTGATAGAATTCAATTAGGAAAAAGTAAATATGATATTCACATCATAGATATCAAAAAGTAACCCTAACATTTTCATCACCAAAAAGTTTGTGGATATCAATTACACAAATTCAAATCATAACAACAAAACTAATTCAATAACATTAAATAAGGGAAATAGTAAATGGTGGTGGGTTGTGGTGGATCTAGGTTTGCAATGTTCCGCACGTGTGTGTGTGAGTGAGAGAGACGCAGAGAGTATGCAAGTATGCTGGTGTGTGTCTGTGTGTTCTATTATGTGTGTGTGATTTGTGAGAGAGAAAGAGGGGTACCTGGGCCATGGCAAAGGATCGATTGGGGAGCCGATAATAAAGCATCCATTTTTCTGGCCACAAGCCTGGAAAAATTTGTGGTCATCCAATAATAAATCATATAAACTACACAACTCACAATTTAAACCAAAAGAATAACAAAGCGCGAGTATATTGGTCTACCTGTGTCCTTGTAGTCCCTTGAGTAACACTTCAGCAAGCAGTTTTCCAGCCTTCTCAGATCTATAGAAATGTCAAAAGAAGTTACGGGAAATTTTCAAAAGGACAAAACAAAAAATCATCTTTCCTGCCATGCACAATTGCCCGTGAAAGAGGGGAGGTTAAAATATTATATGACCTAAGGATCCCACCAAGCACATCCAATGAACACTTTCTCAATCCAACTGAAGCGAGAACTATTTTTGTCCCGTTGCATAAAACTATTTTTTGTAATACACTAAAAATTAAGGAGTCCTCAAAGAAAATATCAAATTAAGTACAATTATTGAGTAATCCACATTGGTTCTATTTATATTGCAACAGAAGATTCCAATTTTATGTTGAAAAGGTCCACATCAATCCATAGGATATAATGCATGGAGAAACCTTGATAACTTGTTGAACCAAGCATATTACATTCTTTGTGCAAAATCAAAAAAAAGCATTTTTGGGGTAGAGATATTTCATCCGATTGAGTCACATGTATATAACCTACCACGGAAAGCATTCCAACTGTACAGAATGGACAATGGTGCATTTTGTAACTCAGGCAATTTTCTAACAAACAACAGAAAATTTATTTGATTGTAGTTTTTATTTTACAAACTCTGAAAGCTTAAAATTGAAAATATATTTGATAACTACTTTAATTCTTGTCATATATGTTTTATTTTTATATTATTTTTCTACTAAAAAATACATTAATTTTTATCTTAAAAATGATCAATACCCATCACAAAAAATACAATCGAACATCAAAAAAAGATTCCCACAAAGTATCATATCTATACATAAAGCATCACAAAAATACCGCCAAGGGCCAATTGATGGGTATCATAACTCTGGCAAGTATCATAACTCTAGCAAGTGTTGTAGCATTGAAATATGAGAAAACAATCACAAGAGTAGAATTTCCCAAGGGCCATTGATGGGTAGATGCACTACTAATATACTAAAGTGCAGTGAATTAAACGATACGTTGAGAATAATATAGCTAAACACGTGCTGTTTACAAACTATAGATGCATATTCTGCTATGTATCACATTCAGTGGCTAGGCAGTTAGCCACAATTGTAGACCCCCTGGTTGTTGTAATTCAGAGATATTTAGTGTTGTAATGAGAAAAGAAAAAAACTGGAATCTCAGGCCTTCCACAAGAGCAAGCTATTACAGTAATTTCCAGCTTCAAAATGATGATCTCATAATATCTCCCATGAAATAACGAAACAAATATAGTTATTTGAAAAATAAAATGAG